GTTAAATAGATTTAAGAGCACTATTTGAGTGATTTTTGTTACAAATTACCTGTTTATTATTATCTGTAGCTTTAAGACTTATTTATAAGTAACTTTTGTTATAAGGTATTTGTTTAGAGTGTTTAGGATGTCACCTTACTTACCTGAGCCACTGACCTGTGTTGTTGGGAAAGAACACAGAAAGACAAGTTTTAAAAACGCCAGGTTTTAAACAAAGTTGTGTCAGGCTTAAACTGAAGGAAATATGTTATATGGTATTATTGAAACATAACGTGTTGGGACTGGAACCCACTGTAGATTTGTAAAAGGTATAGTGTTGACATTGTGTGGGCACATTTGATTATATCTAAAGTATTGTTGTGGATGGCCCTGGTTAGTGTCTTGACAGTTTTTTAACTATTTTTTATTAGATCAATCATAGTATGTTTGTTTTTATAGGTTATTTGTATGATCAATCTAGAGTAGGTTTTTTTTTATGAACTTAAGGAGACTGATCTTTGAGGTGGGAGCCCCTTTATTTAAAGAAAATTTTGTATGTCAAGGCACTAAAACATGTAAGTTGTTTTTATTTTTTTTTATAGAGTTAGAGGGTTAGTTTGAACCTGGAAAATTTTTGAGAACAGAAGTTTGTGAGAACTAGTATGAGTTTGAACAGAAAGGACCAGTTTTTGTCTTGAGTTAGTTTTTTATATTTTTAGTTTATACTATATTAGTTTGAAACAACAAGTAAGAGACATTAGGTAGAAACTATTTTTAATAGGACAGTTTATTTGTAACATTTAAAAATTTTGTAAACTTGTTTTAAGACTTTATGTCTTACTTTTTAGAAATTTTATAAAGATTAATCATTTTTTTAGATGTATGAAAAAGTTGGCTTGGAAATAATTTTTTTTTGACAAACTTTTGAGAACAACACTGAAAAGAACAGGCTTAAGTCTGAAGTGAAAGGTGTGCAGTTTCCCTCCAGAGTTAGCTGTCAGCGCATTTAACAGCCTAGGTTCTTAGAAATTATCCTATACATAGTATACAAACACTTACAATATTCACATGCACATCTGCTACACTTTTTCCTTAGGGGGGCAGAGGACCAAGAAACCTTGTTGTTAAAGTTTTTATGTGTATTATTATAGCTAGGAATGGTGGCTATTGTTGACGCCCACCGCACCTGGGCTTGAGAATTATGTTGAAAGGCATTGTTATAGAGCCTTTTAGGCACAGTCTGAGACTGGCTTTTTTTGTTGTTTGTTTTTTTAAGAGAAGATTTTTGTGGAGATTTTTTTTTAATTTATATTTTTTTGTTTAGTATTTGTTCTTTTTACATTTAGGGTAGATCTTTGGAGTTTTTTTGTTATTAGTTTTTTGTTGGTTACTTTTAGTTTTGTATTTTTGGGTGAAATGTCCGCTTTTACTATATTTAAAACATCTTTTGTTTTTAGTTTTATTTTTATTAGTTAAAAAACCTTTAACAGTTAGTTTATTAAAAGCCGTTGTTATGGCAAGTTTTTGTTGATAAGACGGACCTATGTTTGAACATAGGCGTGTATAGTTAGTTAAATTTGTTTTTTTTTGTAAGGTTTGATTGTTGTTTGATTGGCAGGATTGGCATTTTTATAAGTTAACTGTTTTATATAGTTTAGTTTTGTCTTAATATTTTTAAATATTTTTAGAAGTTTTTAGGTTTTTTTTAGTTGGAATATTTTTTTATGTTTTAGTGGTAGTAGATTGAACTTGTGTGAAAAGTTTTAGGTTATATTGTATTTGTTGTTTATGACTTTTATATTGACCTTTATTAGTATATTAAAATTTTATTTATTTTTAGCTTGGTGGGTTTTTTTTTTTTTTTTTTCCCTGAGGCTCTTAGCATGGAGGTGAGTGTGGTCCGCGGAGGAAGTGGCGTAGGCGGCGCTTTTTTTTAAAAGCGGCCCCATCAAGTTTTGGGCTCTACCCCTCTCTAGGTAGGGCTTGTGGAGGGCCCCTATGTATAGTTCCCCGACCACCTTGGGTGGCCCGGAGGGGGATTTGTAACAGTCGCCTTTTTGGGGGGAATTTCTCCCAACTTTGGCTTAGAACTATTTTTAAAATTTTTTTTAGCTTGGGCAATTGTTGTCATCATTGGTTTATGTTTATCTTTTTTATCTATTAATTTTTAATTAAATTTTAATAAGAAAAAGTAGTAACTGGGACCTTTTTGGTTTAAATATTTTATAAAACTTTTGTAATGTATTTTTTACTTTTTTAAATTTTTTTATATTTATAATTTTTGGGGGGGAAACCATGGGCAGATGTTTTTTACAAAATCAAAAAAATGAAATAAATCTTTAGTTGTAACTTTTATTTTTTTGTCTGTAAAGTTTTTTTTAATTGTATTACATATTTTTGCTGTTGATTTAATTTTTGTCCCATGATTGAACGACTAATTTACCTGTTGGCTCGGTTACAGTAGGCTACTGCAACGTTTTTGAACTATTGTTTGATCAGGTATGCACCCCTTCTTTACTCCGTCGTTGGACCCTCACGTTGTCCCCCAGTATCTAGCCCCACGTTGGGCACCATGCTGTGGGAGGCCACCCCGCAATGTGACTCGGTTTCGACCTGCAGACCTTTTACGGAGTACCTGGATTGGGGGGTGGGGCTGTGGATGAGGCAAGCGACAAGAGAAATGGAGACAAGACAGGAGTCTGATCAAGTCTCGTTTATTGAAGCTCAAGCATGAGTTTTTATAGAGAATGAGAACAAAGGCACACAGACTGCAAACCATTACATCAGTCAGAGCACAAGGGCTCTGACGCACATTAAGGGAGGTATCTCTGATTATAGAAGAATGAAACTGTATGTTAAAAAAAAAAAAAAACAAGACTGTGGACCAAGACTATCTAACAAGTCTATCTGGCCCCGGCTTCAAGCCAAGGTTTTGGGCCAAGGTTATGAGCCCCGGCTGCAAACCAAGGACTTCCGGCCACGGCTGTGAACAAAATAAAAAGTTGCCAGCTGAGGCCTGTCAACAGTTTTAAGAGGTAACTGAGACTCAGTTAAACCTCAGGCTCCCAGGCTCCCAACAGACTGAGACCGGGAGAGTGCACCGGATCACTGTGGAGCAGCTGAGCCTTTCCACGGAGGACTTTGGACTTGGACATTGGGCCCAGGCCGGGAGGTACTCCCTGAGAGCAGGGATCTCTGGAAGCTTTGGTAACCTGGTGACACCTGGTGCACTAGGCCCACTGGTCCAGACCTACTCTGACTCTCCACCTAAAGTGTGTTGTTTGTTGTTGGTAACTTTGTATTGCATGAATTGTTCATTCAATATAAATTGTTGATTGCAACACAACACACGTGTGGAATCTCTTCTGTCCTTTGCACCTGTCCCAGCTCTCCCGAGTAGCATTAACTTATGGGGAATGGTTTTTGAATCCTTCCTCGGGACATGGGAGCAGCCACCCGGGGGCCTCAGCTGCCCTTGTAAGGAGCTATGGCTTGGGGACACCTGACACTGCCTGGTTATAATTAACCCAGACACGTGGTGACCCCCACCACCACCTGCTGCCTGCACCCCCCCATCCCAATGCTTGGGTCTCCTAGAGGCAGCAGCCAAGCCTGCTCTAAAAATAATCAGGTCCCCTCCCTGTCCCCTCCACTGCAGAAATGTGCTGGTTCCTCCAGGGTGAGGGGCAGGTCGAGGATGACCACTGCACCCAACCTCAGCCCCAAGTTTGGATCTCCCCAGCTGGGTCTCCAGCCTCAGTTTCTCACCTTATCAATTCCACAGAGGAAGGGCCGGGCATCTGGGTTCTGACTTCAGTTCTGGTCTCTACAGGCTTCTCTGGGCTTCTGTGTCCTCCCCTGGGTCCAGTGGCCTTAAGTTTCTCCTGGGTGCTGGCAGGGTGGGGATGTAACTCAGAGGAAGAGCTTTTGTCTGGCATGCTTGTTATCCTGCGTTCTAGCCCCAGCTCTGCAAAAAAAAAAAAAAAATAAGGCAAGATAAAGAAAAGCAAGAGCAAACTGGGTGTGGTGGTGTGGCCTGTAATCTAAGAATGGTGGGAGGCTGAGGCAGGAGGATTGCCACAAGTTTGAAGCCAGCCTGGGCTACATAGCAAGACCCTTTCTCACTGGGAGTGGTGGTGCACACCTTTGATCCCAGCACATGGGAGGCAGAGGCAGGTAGAGCTCTGTGAGTTGGAGGCCAGCCTGATCTCCATAGTGAGTAAATTCCAGGCCAGCTGGGCTACATGGAGACCCTATCTCAATAAACAGCCCCCAAGACCCTTTCTCAAAAAGCCAAGTAAAACCAGACATGCCTTTAATCCCAGCACTCAGGAGGCAAACGGAGGCAGATCTGTGAGTTCAAGGCCAGCCTGGTCTCCACAGCAAGTTCCAGGTCAGCTCGGCTTTTAGGAAGATCCTGTCTCAAGGAAACAAAAAAACAAAAACAAAACAAAGCCAAATATAGAAATATTATAACAAGGTTAGGCATGGTGGCACCTGCCTATAGATCATGGTACTTGGGAGGCTGAGGGCAGGAGGATTGTCATGAGTTTGAGGCCAGTCAGGGCTTCACAGGAAGACCCTGTTTCAAAACACAAATAAATAAAATATAAAATAAAACAAAACAATTCTCCCAGTGGCTGAGTGGCAACAGATGGTAAGGCTCAGGGGAGGGTGCTGACCACTGTCAAACCTTCAGGCCACAGGGCTTCTATGTGCCTGGGCCTTCTGAAGTATCCCCTGACCCATGTTCCGGGCAGGGGGCCAACTGTCCCCGCCAACTAAACTCAGCACTTGGTCTGGGAACCAGCGAGCAGGCCAGCCCCTGGGGCAGCCCATACAAGGCCATGGGGCTGGGCACCTGGCACTCCTGGGTCCGGGGTGGGCACAGTGCCTGGGCAGTGAAATGAGGGCTCAGCTGCCTTCAGGGGCCCCTCCCTGGGGACAGCCCCTCCTGGCCAATCACACCCAGCAGGCCCCTCTATATAACCCAGGGGTTGTAGACACTTCCCCCAGGTCAGCATCACCTCCCAGATACAGATAGCTGCTCATAAACCAGCCCAGACAGGTATGTTCTGCAGGGACTCAGGGCATGGGGGGTTGGCATGGGAATCCAGGGGTCTCCTCACTCGGGAGCCGGCCTGGTCCCCTTGTAACTGAGGTTTCTATAGCACAAGTCATAGGGACAATTGTCCAGACAATGGGGGTGTGGACAGCTGCCGATTGTCCCTCTTGCAAGAACTGGGTGGACTCTTTACATTAATCACCAGAATGCAAGCAGGTGTCTGGGTGACACCTGTCAGGGTTCTCTGACTTTGTCATTGTGTGGGTCTGTGTTGTGTCCTTGTGACCTTGTGTCTTGTTCCTCTCTTTTTTGTTGTTAAATTTTTAAATTATTGTATTTATTTTTGAGTGTGTTGGGGGTTGTCAGGCCTTTTGGAGGGTCAGAAGGCAACTTGTGCATCCTGGGGATTGAATTTACACTGTCAGGCTTAGTGGCAAGCAGCTTTACTCTCTAAGCCATCTCACCAGCCTCTGGCTCAATGTTTGAGTTCCTAGATCTGAGTTATCATCTTGAAGATTTGACCACGGGACTCAGTTTACCCAGGGATCTTGGGGCGTCTGAGTGATGGGTGTGTTTGTGTGTGTGTGTGTGTGTGTGTGTGTGTGTGTGTGTGTTTGTCTCTTGGGGAGGATGGGGGTTGGAGGCAGGGTCCTATCTCCTGGGGGTGTCCCTGGTAGGGCTAGGGGTGAGGACACCCCTTGAAGGGGGGTGTCTGGGTTGGAAGCCTAGGGTGTCCTTGAGCCTTAGGGGCCTAGTTCCATGTCCTCCCAGCCCACCTGTCCCAGTGCTGACTTGGTGCAAAGCGAGCCAGCATGTGGGGTGGGGCAGGTGGCAGTGGGGGGTGGGGGCAATCTAAAAATAGACAACAGCTTCAAGGGCTTTAGTGGGTCCATGTTCTCCTGCCCCACCCCCCTCTGTACAACTTGGCCAGATTTCCCTTCTACCCGCTCACCTGCCTCCCATCACTGAGCGGAGTGTGGGTCTCCTATTGTCTGTGGTGGAGGGGTCTCTACTTTTCTGGGTCTAGTGAATAAACATAATAATATAAAATAAAAATAACAGTAATAAAATAAAACTGATCCAGCTGGGGAGATGGCTCGGTCAGCAAAGGGCTTGCTGAGTAATCATGAGCACATGAGTTCAATCCCCAGAACCCACATTAAAAAAAACCTGAGTGTAGGGCCAGATATGGTGGTGCACACCTTTAATCCCAGCACTCTGGAGGCAGAGGCAGGTAGATCTCTGTGAGACTGAGGCCAACCTGGTCTACATATCGAGTTCCAGGCCAGCTGGGGCTACAGGGAGACCCTGTCTCAAAAAACAAAGCAAACAACAAACTAAGGTGGATGGTACCTGTGGAATGACAGCCAAGGTCATCCTGTGGTACCCACACATGCACACAGGCATGCAGGCATTCACGCACACATGCATGGACACACGCACAAATGAGCTGACGATAGAAACCTGCTGGGTCCAGACACCAGCTTCAAGACAGGCCTGTGCTTACCCAGCCATGAGCCAGAGCTCAGGGAAGAGCACAGGTTCAGAGAGGTCTGTCTACTCACTAGCCTGGGGCCACACAGAGAATTAAAACTGGGCTCTGACAACTGTCTGAGGCTAAGTGGCCAGAGGTAAAGGCAGCTGCCCAGGCACCTGCCCCTGCCCCTCTTCTGGATGGATCTGGATTGGGGATCGCAATGGAGTGGTTATCCTTTTTCTGAATTCTCAAATTTTCAGCTACATGCTCTAATTGGATCCTCACACAGACCTGAATAAAGTAATTGTAAGTCAGGCACTTAACCTGCCTTACTACATTTAAGTCTCTCCAAACTTCCATGAGGTGAACACTGTTGTAGATCCCCACTTTACAGATGAGTGGAACAGGCATAGAGAAGTCAAACAACTTGCCTAAAGGCACACAGTAGAGCTGGGATTTGAACCCAGGCCATTCGAGTCTATATCCTCTGTTCTGTTCTTTTTCTTTTTCCTTTTCTGCCTCAGCCTCTGGAATGCTGAGATTACAGGCATGGGTCACCATGCCCCAGTAGAACCTATATTCTTTTACTGTTGGGGAAGACTCTGTCTCAACCCCAGGCTAGCCCCCAACTCTCAAAGTAGCTGAAGGTGACCTTGAAGTTCTGATCCTCTTGCTTCTACCTCCTGACCACTGGAATGACAGGCCTGAGCCACCCCACCTAGTTTATATGATGCTGGGGATAGAACCCAGGGTCCTGTGCATACTAGGGCAAGCACACCACTAACTGAGCCACACTCCCAGCCCCCAGGCCCCCCTTACTTGTCACAATATTTTTTTGGCTTGGGGTGGGAGGCAATGGTCCTATTCATTTCCCAGCTGAAGAAACTGGGTCCCCAGCAGGGTCAGGCAACCAGGATGTGGCCAAGTCAGGAGACTGACCTAACCATTCTGATGTGTGGGTTCATGGAGGGGATCCCTCTTGTTCCAAGTCTACAGTCTGCTTGACCCCAAGACCCTGGCTGGGCTCTCCTGCCACTCTGAGATCCAGCTCACCTTCTCCTCCTCCCACCATTCTGGGGGTCCCACAGGCCGCCATGCCGTTCGGCAATACCCACAACAAGTTCAAGCTGAACTACAAACCTGAAGAGGAGTACCCTGACCTCAGCAAACATAACAACCACATGGCCAAGGTGCTGACCCTTGACCTCTACAAGAAGCTGCGAGACAAGGAGACGCCATCTGGCTTCACCCTGGATGACGTCATCCAGACAGGAGTGGACAACCCAGGTGAGCCTTCAATGCACAGGACCAGACAGCTAGACAGAACCTTGCCACCTGCCCCAGGGACCTCAGATAACCTCTCTTCTCTCTTTACTGTGTATGAAATCCAGGACCTCATGCATGCTAAGCAGGGGCTCTACCACTGAGCCTCACCCGCAACCCCTCACTGGGGGACTCTAGACAAATGCTCTACCACTGAGCCAGGGGATTCTAGGCAGGTGCTCTAAGTAGCATGGAATTCATATTCAGCAACCCTGCCCCCCCTAGCTTTTTTTTTTTTTTGAGACAGGTCTACTCACTATGTAACCCTGGCTTGCCTGGAACTGCTTATGTAGACCAGGATGGCCTCAAAGTCCTAGAGATCTGCCTGCCTCTGCCCCCTGAGAGCTGTGATTAAAGGTGTGCACTACCACGCCCACCCTTTATCTTTTATTTTTATATTTGCATGCTGGTGATCAAACCCAGGGAACGATCTACCACTGAACCCTGTCCCCAACCCATAAGTGGGTCCCTCAAGCTTCTTACCTGACCCTCTGTGGAAGCTGATTATCTAAGTTTCTAAACATTTTGGGGTGAGACACTATGATTTGGTGACACCAAGACACACCTTTTACAAGTTTACCAGGTTTCTGACAATCCCCTTTCTCCTTAACCTCTCCCAGGTTCCCCAGTCATTGCTACTAACCCTCAGCTTGGTTATAGAGAGGTCTTACTTGAAACCCTGCTGATGCCTATGACATACCACCCCCTAGACACACTCCTCACACAGAGACACACAGACACCCTACACACACACACACACACACACACACACACACACACACACACACACACACAAATTCCCTACCACATTCAACACCTGTCACAAGCCCATGCCCTCCCTTGCTGACCTCAGCGTCATCCCTCAGGTCACCCCTTCATCATGACCGTGGGCTGTGTGGCTGGGGATGAGGAGTCCTACGCAGTCTTCAAGGACCTGTTCGACCCAATCATCCAGGACCGCCATGGTGGCTACAAACCCACCGACAAGCACAAGACTGACCTCAACCATGAGAACCTCAAGGTCAGTGGCCTCCAGGGCTTGTGGTGGGCAGGAGAGACAGTAAAGAGAAGGGAAGGGGGGCCACACCAAGAGGGAGAGACAGGGAGACCATAGAGATGGTCTCTATGGAGGGAGGGAGGCACAGAAAGACACAGGAATAGAAGCTGGAGGGTCCTGAGGTGGGGCAGTGAGGCTGGGGCCAGGGAAAGAAGCTGAGCCTCAATGGGAGAACTGGGGAGGATTTGGGGAGACCCAGAAGGATCTGGGGAGACATGGGAAGATCTGGGGAACCCTGGAGATCTGGAGATACTGGGAGGATTCTGGGGGATCTGGAAAGATCTGGAAGGATCTGGGGGTACTGGGAAGATCTGGGGAGATCCTAGAGGATCCGGGGAATCTGGGGCCACTGGGAGGATATAGGGAATCCTGGGAGGATCTGAGAGGATCTTGGGGGATCTTGGGGGTACTAGGAGGATCTGGGGGTTACTAGGGGGACCTGGGGGGACACTGGGAGATCTGGAGGAAGAAGAGATTCTTGAGGAGGCCTGGGTTGGCAGGGGTCTTCCCATCTTGATACCCCTGCTCTCTGCAGGGCGGCGATGACCTGGATCCCAACTACGTGCTGAGCAGCCGCGTTCGCACAGGCCGCAGTATCAAGGGCTACACACTGCCCCCTCACTGCTCCCGCGGGGAGCGCCGTGCGGTGGAGAAGCTGTCGGTGGAAGGTGAGCTTCCCCGAGTGGGTCCCCAATCCTGCACCACGGTTTCCAGTGCAGAGGGGTGGCATGGAGCTGGCCTTGGCTAGGGAAGGCTGGCCGCAATACCTGTGCTAGAGGGCTTATCTTGAGAAGCCCTGGGAAGTTCTACACCCAGCAGCCCCTGGGTTCTCTCGCTCATTAGCTCATTGATTGATTGATTGATTGATTGATTGATTCATTCATTCATTCATTCATTCATTCATTCACGGACATTTTTATTGCTCTGACTTGGGGAGGTGACAATATTATTACTCTGGGGAATTTGGCAGGGAACATCCAGAATTGCTCCCTTTGGCTGAGCCTGGTGTGGTGGTGCACACCTGTAATCCCAGCCCTCAGCAGATAGGGGCAGGTGGATCTTGTGAGTTAGAGGCCAGCCTGGTCTACATAGTGAGTTCCAGGTCAGCCAGAGCTACATAGGGAGATTTTGTCTTAAAAGTAAAACAAACAAAAATAACAAATATTTGTCGTGGCTACAAATTTCTGTCTATTGTTCTGTTGAGGCAGAGTCTCCATGTATAGCTCAGGCTGGCCTCCTCCAACTCCTGATTGCCCAGCTTGGGTCTCCTGAATGCTGGGATTACAGATGTGCAACACCCACAGCTCCACAATTTCTGGGGTGTAAATTCCACAGTGGCCAATTTTAAGGGGCTCTACTAGTGACTCCTCACAGAGGTATGGAGAAGATGCACAGTGGGAGCCTGGTGTGGTGGTGCACACCTCTAATCCCAGCACTCAGAAAGCAGAATGTCTGTATGGTGGGATGCTATGGAATGTCGCCCCACTGTGCTTCTTTTTCCTTTTCTTGGTTTCTGAGACAAGTTCTCCCTGTATCCCTAGCTGGCCTCAATCTCACCAAGAGCTTTCTGCCTCTGCCTCCTGAATCCTGGGATTAAAGGCATATGCCACCATGTCCCCTGATTCTTTTATTTTTATTTTATATGTATGAATATTTGCCTGGGTCCAAGTGCACTACATGTGCAGCGGTCAAAAGAGATCATCAGCTCCCCTGGAACTGGAGTTACAGACGGTTGGTAGCCACCATGTGGGTGCTGGGAACCAAACCTGGATTCTCTGCAAGAGCAGCCAGTGCTCTTTCTGAACCAACTCCCCAAGCCTACTTTAGGACATCTTTGAGGTCCAGGCTCAGGTATCAGGGAAACAGTAGTGTCAGGTAGGTCTTGGCCACCATCTGACTGCCCTCCTATGGCCCCTCAGCCCTCAACAGCCTGACAGGCGAGTTCAAGGGCAAATACTACCCTCTGAAGAGCATGACGGAGCAGGAGCAGCAGCAGCTCATCGATGACCATTTCCTGTTTGACAAACCCGTGTCCCCACTGCTGCTGGCCTCTGGCATGGCCCGAGACTGGCCCGATGCCCGAGGCATCTGGTGAGTCCCTCTGTCCCTCGGCTTCCATTCTCCCTGTTTTTCTAGTCCCCCGCCCCCTCCTCCATCAATTTGAGACCAAGCCCTGGCCTCCCACCCCTGCCTCATCTTCCTCTTGTGTCATATTTTGGGAAAGTTGAACCAAAAAAGTGTGGTGAGGAATTTACGCTAATCAGATTTGTCAGCCCAGTAACTGGAGAGGTTGAGGCAGGAGGATTGAAATTTCAGGGCCTGCCTGAACTACACAGTGAATTGGAGGCTAGCCTGAGCAACTTAGTAAGACTCTGTCTCAAAATAAAAACTAAAAAGAGAGCTGGGGGCATGGCCAAGTAGTAGAGTGCTTGCTAGTATGTGTGAGGCTCTGAGTTAGCCCTGAATATGGCAAAGAAAACAAAAGGACTTACACTTGAACCTTTCTCTGGACTCAAATCTTAGCTCTCTCATTTACCAGGTGTGTGACTGTGCATAACTATAAGTACTACCTACTCCAGAGGCCTGAGGCAGGAAGATCACTTGAGGGCAGGAACCAGCTTAGTTAAAATGAGATCATTAAACACACACACACACACACACACACACAAACCAGGACTGGCTCAGCGGTTGAGAGCACTGACTGCTCTTGCATAAGACATGGGTTCGATTCCCAGCACCCACATGGTGGGTAACAACCATCTGTAACTCCAGTTCCAGGGGATCCAACGCCTTGTTCTGACCTCTGGGCATTGCACGACCTGGGTACGCTTACATACATGCAGGCAATACACTCACATACATAAAAATAATAAATAAAATATTAAAAATAAATATTAAAAATGTTATAATAATAATGATGATGATAAAAGCTGTAGGTGGTTGGAATCTCAGAATCTTTGGCACACAGAAACAGGCTCCGAAGGGATAAACCTTGTCAGTATTACCTGTAGTTCTCAACCTCAGATTTGAAGTTTCGAAGACTCCACCTGCCTCCCTTGTTCTCATCCTTCAGGCCCCCAGGCAGGAGACTGTTTCGACAAAGGCAGGGGTTGGTGTTCCTGGGAAATGGCACTCTTGCCCATCTGACTTCTAGACTTGGCTGTCCCTTCCAGGCACAACGACAACAAAAGCTTCCTGGTGTGGGTGAACGAGGAGGACCACCTCCGCGTGATCTCCATGGAAAAGGGGGGCAACATGAAGGAGGTTTTCCGGCGTTTCTGCGTGGGACTGCAGAAGGTGGGTGTCTCCTTCAGCGGCTGACTACTGACCCCATCTTCAACGCCACACCCACTTAGTAAAGCCATGCCTCTTCTGTAGACCAAGCCCCTTCCAGACTCACCACACAGTTGGCATCCACCAAGCCGCACCCTTCATAGCTCCACCCACTTTCCAACTCCTCCTCCCGTCCACTTTCCAAGGCTCTTTCCTTCCCAATACCAAGACTCACCCTTTGGAACTCCACTCACTTTCCACGTCCCCACCTCTTATATACATATATAACATATATATGATATATATACACCAAGCCCCACCCACCAGGACCCCGCCCACCTCCCCGTCCCTTCTTCCAGTACCAAGACACACCCCTTAACCTAGTCTACCCACTCTCCAGTCCCTGCCTTAGTTTACGTCCCAGCTTTCAGAACCCATTCTACCACCTACTTTCAGGTTCTACCTCCCCATAACCTAGGTCCAGAATCCTGAAGCCCCGCCCCTCCCATGCCAGCCTCCACCCTCTGCTCCCAGCCCTGCAGCTCCGTCTCCTGGCAGCCCCACCTCCTCCTTGGTTCCCACGCCCCATCCCTCTGAGCCCTGCCAGGGTGTCAGGGTTCCCTTGGAGCCCAGTCCCAGGTGTTGCTTTCTCCCTATATCAGATTGAGGAGATCTTCAAGAAAGCGGGTCACCCCTTCATGTGGAACGAGCACTTGGGCTACGTGCTCACCTGCCCCTCCAACCTGGGCACCGGGCTGCGCGGAGGCGTGCACGTGAAGCTGGCGAACCTGAGCAAGCACGCCAAGTTCGAGGAGATTCTCACGCGCCTGCGCTTGCAGAAGCGAGGCACAGGTGCGGCCCCTTGCGGTGGGAGAAGGGGAGAAGGAGGACACGACCCCCCCCCCGCAAGTTCCTGGGTCATGGTTCTCTGATATGCATTTTGCATACATCCCTGGCCTTATCTTGGGGACTCAGTTTCCCCATCTGTAAATGGAGTATGGTCAATTCCATCCTAAGCAGTCAGCTTATTCATTATAAGTTCCACTTATTTGTTATGCTTTTTCATATATATATACACACACATTACATATAGGGAGAATATTTATTTCATTTTTGTCTTTTTTTGAGACAGGGTCTCCCTGTAGCTCAAGCTGGCCTTGAACTCACAGAGATCGACCTGCCTCTGCCCCCCAAGTGCTGGGACTGAAGGTGTGCCCCACCGTGCCCTCCTATTATTTATTTTTTTAAGACAGAGTCTCCCATAGCCCCAACTGGCCTGGAATTCACCATGTAGACCAGGCTGGTCTCGATCTCACAGAGATCTCCCTGCCTCTGCCTCTCAAGTGCTAGGATTAAAGGTGTGTGCCACTATGCCCAGCAATTCATTTTATTTCTATTTTATGTGTATGAATATTTTGCCTGCATGTACGTAAATGTACCCATGTGTGTAATGTCCACGGACTTCAGAAGAAAGCATTGAATCCCCTGGAATTGGAGTTACAGATGGTTATTAGCTGCCATGTGGGTGCTGGGAACCGAACCCAGGTCCTCTGGAAGGGCAGACAGTGCTCTTAACCGCTGAGCCATCTCTCCAGCCCCCAGTACTTTTTAAAAAAATTAATGTATTTGTTTGTGTGGGGGAGGACACTTGTGCCACTACATTCGTGTCTGGAGGTCACATGGTACAACCTTCGGGAGTCAGAGTACTTTCCTTCCACCATGTGGGTCCTGGGGATCGAACTCAGGTGTTGTCAGGTTTGGTGGCAAGCATCTTCACCTGCTGAGCCATCTCACCAGCTCCTTATAATTGTGGTGTGTGTGTGTGTGTGTGTGTGTGTGTGTGTGTGTGTGTGTGTGTGTGTGTGTGTGTGTGTGTGTGTATTACATTATACTATAAAATTTTTTTCTTTTCCTTTTTGAGACTGGGTCTCGTTGTGTAGCCCTAGCCTCAAACTCAGACATCCTCCTGCCTCTGCCTCTGCCCCTGGAGAGCTGGGACTAACGGTGTGCGCCACCAGGCCAGGCCCGTGCTATATTTCTTCTTTGCATGGTTGAGGATTGAGCCACCCACTGCACCTAAAAGCCAGACATATGGCTCACGATACACTGAGCCCACGACCTGTTTGCACCGAATGCTCAAGGCGTTTGCAGTGGGCACAGGGTGGACCCTGCTCATTCCCGGTGGGCTCTTCTCCCGCGCAGGTGGGGTAGACACGGCTGCAGTAGGCGCGGTGTTCGACATCTCCAACGCTGACCGTCTGGGCTCATCCGAGGTGGAGCAGGTGCAGCTGGTGGTGGATGGCGTGAAACTGATGGTGGAGATGGAGAAGAAGCTGGAAAAAGGACAGGCCATCGATGACATGATCCCTGCTCAGAAGTAGGCGCCCGGCCCGCCTGCCTTGGGCAGCTGGAGCCCTGGCCCCTAGAGGACCCCGCCCACCGGAGTCCCGCCCCTCCACCCTCGCCACGCCCACATCACCACGCCCCCTTCCCTGGAGTCCCGCTCATGAGGTTCTATCACAGGGGGTCCTAGCCATCCATCCTCCTCTGGGTTCTGGCCAATGAGAACTTCCTCTTTGGAGTCCCACCCACCAACTGGAGCTCCTGCAGCTGGGCATCGCCAGTGCCTGCTACTGCTTCCCCAAGCAGTAAATAAAAGCGATGGTGGCCTTAGCTTTGTGTGTGCCAGCTGTTGAGGGAGAAGGAGGTTGGGGGAGGGGGCTTCGACGTCTGACCACAGAGGCTTTGGAGTGCTTTGGCGCCCCTTTGTGATGTATCTCACTGGCCTCCTGTCCCGTCTGTGTTCGCCTTTCTCTAGATACCAGGTTTTTGTTGGTGCTGTTTAAAGCAAGGTCTCCTGTAACTCAGGCTGGCCTTGAACTTCTGATTTTCCTGACTCTGCCTCTTAAGTGATGGGATGACATATGTGTACCATCTTGCCCTGCTTGTGTGTGTGTATGGCATGTTCATAGGTACATATAGGTACACATACCTGTGGCTTCATTCAGAGGCCAATAAAAGATAGCAAGTTTCCTCCTCTATTGGTCTCTATTTTCAATTTTTATTTATTTATATTTTATTTTTATTTTATGTGTATGCGTATATTGCCTGCATGTAGGTAAGTGGACTAAGGGTTGTTAGCTGCCATGTGGGTGCTGGAATTCAAACCTGGGTCTTCTGCAAATACAACAACCAGTATTCTTAACTGCTGAGCCATGCCTCCAGCCCCTATTTATATTTTAAAAAAATATTTTAGCTGGGCATGGTGGTACATACCTTTAATCCCAGCACTTGGGAGGCAGAGGCAGGCAGATCTTTGTGAGTTCAAGGCCAGCCTGGTCTACATAGTGAGTTCCAGGAGAGCCGGGGCTACAAGGAGACCCTCTCTCAAAAAGACAAAAAAAAATTATGTGTATGAGTGTATTGCCTGCATGTATGTGAGTGCACCCGTGTCATGCAATATAATGGAGGTCAGAGAGGGCTTTGGATTCCCCTGGAACTGGAGGTAAGGACAGGTGTTAGATGCCATGTGGTGCTAGGAATCAAACCCAAGCCCTCTTCAAGAACAGTAAGTGCTCTTAACTGCTGACCCATTTCTCCAGCCCCAATTCTACCTATAAAAAATATTTTATAATTTTTTTATGTGTATGAGTGTATTGCCTGCATGTGCGTAAGTGCACCCATGTCTTGCAATGCCTGAGGAGTTCAAAAGAGGCTGTGGGATCCCCTGGAATTGGAGTTATAGATGGTTGTTAGCTGCCTTGTGGGTGCTAGGACCCAGGTGCTCTACCAGAGCAGACAGCACTCCTAACTGCTCAGCTATCTCTCCAGCCCCCTAAGTTTTTGAGACAGGATCTCTCTTTTGTTTGTTTGTTTGTTTTTGGTTTTTTTGAGACAGGGTCTCCCTGTAGCCCCAGCTGTCCTGAACTATGTAGACCAGGCTGGCCTTGAACTCACAGAGATCCGCCTGTCTCTGCCTCCCAAGTGCTGGGATTAAAGGTGTGCACCACCACGCCCGGCAGAGACAAGGGTCTCTTTACTGAACCCGAAGCTGGCTGGCCATGTAGCTCCCAAGATCTCCCAGGTTCTGCCATCTAATACGGGGGTTACAATGTACAGCCATATCTAGCATTTATAGGGGTGTGGAGGATCCAAACTCAGGTCTTCTTGTGTGTACAGGAAGTACTGTCACCCTATGAGTCATCCCCCCCCATCCCCTTTTTGAGCCAGGGTTTCCCTATGCAGTTTAAGTTGGCCTCAGACTCACCATGTTGCCCAGGTTGGTTTCAAACTATTCAATCCTCTTTCCTCGGCTTCCTGACTGCTGGGATGATGGGTGTGAGTCTTCATGCTCAACTTAGATGGCAGGCTTTTGAATTCTTCAAGAATTTGCCATGGGAGGCAACAAATGACGCGCTGAGTAAACTGTTTGCTGGCAAGCCCGATGACCTCAGTTTGACCCCCCAAACCTCTGTAAAGGTGGAAGAACCAACTCTCCAAAGTTACCCTTATGACCTCCACACATGCTGAGACACAGCACATGAATGCAACCCCCAATAATAATGAATAAAACTGAATACTTCAGAGTTTGGTATGCTGTGTATGACTTTGATCCCAACACTTGGGGAGGCAGAGCCAGCTGGAGCTCTGTGAATTCAAAGCCAGCCTGGTGTACATAGAGCGTTCCAGGCCAGCTGGGACTACAGGGAGACCCTGTCTCAAAAAGACTGAAAAAAAAAATCAATGAAAAAGAATTCAGCCAGGCATGGAATCCCAGCACTCAGGAGGCAGAGGCAGGTGGATCAAGGCCAACCTGGTCTCTATCAGTTCCAGGTCAGCCAGGGCTACACAGTGAGATGCTGCCTCAAAAAAGAATCTGCCACTGTTTTCAACTTTTGAAGAAGACCCTGTAATTGTTCTCCTTTAAGGTAAGAGTGAAGTGCAGGTCATCTACTAAAGGTTCATTTCTCCAGTTCTTCCCCAATAATTGATCATTTATTCATTTATTTATTTAGACACAGGGTCTCCCATAGTCCAGGCTGGTCTCAAACTCACTATTTAGCTGAGGATGACCTTGAACTTCTGATCTTCCTATGTTCACCTCCTGAGTGCTGGGATTCCAGGCATGCTCCAACATGCCCTTGCTGGGGATTGAACCAAGGTCTCCAGCATGCCAGGCAAGCACTCTCCCAACTGTGCCTTCGCTCAGCAATTTCCACCTCAACGTTTTTGCCCAAGTTGTTTCTGCTTCCAGCATGAGGGTGTGGGTCAGAGCATCTTCAGGTAGTCTTTAGGGTGGGGTCCTTGGTCCCAGTAGTAGGGGAGTGGCAGAGCAACTGGGGGACTAAAAGGAGCAGGTAACAAATCAATTATTAATGGGACTTGGTGGTGCTCTCCTGTCATCCCAGCACTTGGGAGGCTAAGGCAGGAGGATTGCCAAGAGTTCCAGCCCAGTCAGAGCTATATAGCAGAAAAGAACGGAAAGGAAGAAAGGAAGAAGGAAGGAAGGAAGGAAGGAAGGAAGGAAGGAAGGAAGGAAGGAAGGAAGGAAGGGAGGGAGGGAGGGAAGGAAGGAGGGAAGGAAGAAAGGAAGGAGGGAAGGAAGGAAGGAGGGAAAGAAGGAAGGAGGGAAAGAGGGAAGAAAGGAAGGAAGGAGGGAAGGAAGGAAGGAGGGAAGAAAAAAAGGGGTAGGCAAGATGGCTCAGTGGGTAAAGGCAATTGCCACCAAGCCCGATGACCTGACATCAAACCCCAGAACCCACATGGTGGAAGGAAAGACCCACCCACATTCTCTAACTTCCACATGCACACTATGACTCCCTCCTTCCCCAATGACTAAATATAATTTCTAAAAAATTTAAAGAGCTCTTAGAGATGCTGGGCAGTGTTTAAGAGCACTTGCTGCTCTTGCAGAGGACTGGAGTTCAGTTCCCAGCACCCATGTTGGGTGGCTCATGCCTGTAACTCCAGGACTGGATCTGATGCCCTGATGCCTCCCAGATCTTCTGACCTCCCAGGGCAACTGCACTCACATCACATCACATCACATCACATCACACACACACACACACACAGCCTAATTTAAAAAATAAGGAGCTGGAGAGATGGCTCAGCAGCTAAGAGCACTGGTTGCTCTTGCAGAGGATGGGGGTTTGAGTCCCAGCACCCACATGGCAGCTAAAAACCATCCGTAATTCAATTTCCAGAGGAATCAGATGCCTTCTTCTAACCTCCATTGGCATTGCATGACACTGGTGCACTTAGATACACACAGGTAAAACACTCATACACATAATTTTTTTTAAAGCCAGTGCGGTGGCACACGCCTTTAATCCCAACACTGGGGAGGCAGAGGCAGGTGCATCTCTGTGAATTCAGGTCTATGTAATCAGTTCCAGGCCAGTCAGGGCTACATAGTGAGATCCTGTCTCTCTCAAACAATTTATACACACAAAAACATATATATATATAAAAGAGCCCTTAGAAATCAATAAATTCATGTCCTGTTCTATGGAAGGCTGAACTGAGGCCCAAGGCCATTCCCAGCATCACTGAACTAGAGGTTAGATGATAACACAAAGGAGGCTTGCCAGGTGTGGGGCCACCCTGGGCAGCTACGTTCCTATTTGAAGACCTCATCACTGGTCCCACCTGCACTCAGGCATGGTGAAGGCAGAGTCTGGGCAGAAAGTCTGAGCCAGCCCCAACTGGAGTCCAAGCCTCTGCCAGGAATCATGTCGCCCAACCTGCTAAACCTCTTAAATCCATCTGTTCCCTCCACATCTGCTGGGTCCCCAGTGCCCTTGCGGAAAAGCCCACACTGCACCCTCTGCTGGGGTACAAGGTCCTACCTATCTTGGCTTGGGAGGTGCTTGCTTCTCCTGCCCTCCATGGAGCGGCAGGTGCCCCCTGTAGATTCCCTTACTGCAAGCCCAGTCCACTTCTTATGGTCAGTCTGGCAGATCCATTGTCTCCACTGAAATTCAAGTCTCATCCAGGTAGGCTAGAGCTCTCCCCCACTGAGGCTATCTCTCTCCTTCACAGAACCTTCCATGCCTTCCTAGGACCAGTAGAGAACACCTTGCAATTTCACCCTGGCCTCAAAACCCTTGGGTGGCTAAGCCCTGCTCTTTCAAACTTCAGAACCTTCCTTTGGGGAAACCCCCCCCCCCCCAGGTCTAGATCTAAGTAGGAGCCCGGCCATTACTAAAGTCATCTGGGTCAATCATAGCCTACCTTGTGATTTTCTTCTGGAGGTTGGCCATAACAGAAGCTAAATTGGAGGGGCAGAAGTTTGGAGGTGCTGGGTCACTTTCCCAAGATGGCACATGCCTGAAATCCCAGCACTCAGGAGGTTGAAGCAGGAGGATCATAAGTTCAAGGTCAGCCTGGGCTACATGGTGAGAGGGACCACACTGGATGCCTGGATCCAACCATACCTAACACCTTCAAGTGTCACAAGCTAATAAATTCTAGTTTAGGCGGTGTGGATAGGCTCTTACCCATACAGAGCATTCATCTCACTAATTCTCCGTGAACACTCTACACAGCAGCTACTGAGATTAGTTTTCTGGTTCCACCACAGAACATCATTTGCTTTGTTCAGGGCTCCAGGGCAAATTCAAAGCCTGACCAACTCGTATTTGCCTGTCAAAGCCACATGCTGCCATTATTTTCTGTAACACTTTTCTTTGGGGGGGGGGCAGGGTTGAAAACTTCATGGAGCCCAGCATAATCCTGCCTCCGCCTCCCACATGCTGGACTTATAGGTGAGTGACACCACATATGGCTTCTCTGGGGGGGTGGAAGTCAGGAATTTTTTTTTTTAAACTCAGGATTTTATATACACTAGGCAAGCACTCTACTGAACTACATCCTCAACCCCTGGAATTTTCCCATAACCCTCTTCATTTTAATTCTGTCCCTGGTTCTGTTTTACACCCCCAGCCCCCCATAGACAGGGGTTGCACAGGTCTCCGTGTCCAGAACTGGGCCTATCAAGTTGGCACCAGTCAATCCTTGTTTATTGAGTATGTGTAACTGGAATAGGAGTAGGCTTTGAGTCCAGTGTATAATGGCAGAGGGGGGCAAGTGGCTAAAGGGGGTTGGGCAGAGGACGAGGGCCTCATAGAAGAGGTCAAGTTCTGTTCTGCCCTCTTTCCCGGTCATCCTTGACCCTTCAACCCCATTGCCCCCATTCTGCAGAGAAGACTGAGGCTCAGCAAGCAGAACCACAGGTCGGGGTCCCCGTCCCTGCTCCCTGGCTCACCTGCAGGCCAGGGGCAGGGAAGGAAAACCCCAGGTCGGCCGGAAGGGAGGGACTCTCCTACTGTTTATTGGGTAACAGGCTGCAGGTGAGGGGCTAAAGGGACAATAACTTAAAAACCGGAGGCTTCAGCGGCAACTTCCCAAGAGACCTCTGCAGAGGGACAAGAATATTTACAGGGATTTGTACAAAGTGCCCCGCGCCAGCCTGGGGCAGAAAGGGGTTCGAGCATGAAGGGTGGGGAGGGGAAGGTTTCTGCCTGTGACCCCCCCCTCACTCCCTGCACCCTAAGTTCTTTCTCCAGTCTCCCTGCTAATGTGCAAGGCCTCTTGAGCTGTTGGGGAGAATTTCCTCAGTTTCCCTTGCTGCTTTGGCCTCCCCGACCCCAAGTCTCCTCAGGTGCCCTGAGGCGCAGCAAGGTGGGGGTACAGGTTCCACTAGAGGCCCCAGGAGGGTGCCAGCTCCACTGCTGAGCCCTCTTATTTCTGTCATGCCAAGTGTCCCCACGGATAGGAACAGGGAGAGTCTCTGTCCACCAACCTAATCCAGGGAAACAGAGGTGATGTGGAGAGGGCCCCCCTGTCCCCTCCTGGGAGCAAAAGAGCCCAGGGAGAGGAAGAGGAAGGACCGGGGGCCGTGGTGGCTCAGAGCTCGAGGTCGTTAGAGATGCGGGTGACGAGGGTGCGGAAGGCCAGGGCAGTGCCCGCCACACGGCGGAAGAGAACACCCCTGAGGCCCGGCCGGGGCAGCTGGCACACCTCTACTTCAAAATGGGATAGGGGCTCGGGCCCACCAGCACCCCCGTGCAGGCAGGCCAGCAGGAACGGCTGTGGCTGGCGACAACGACAGCGTGCGGCCACCGTAGCCTGTTGCAGAGCTGCCATCAGGGCCTCAGGAGGACGCGAGCTGGTCAGCTTCACACTCCAGGGGAATCGGAGCAGCCGGGGGGCGGTTTCCGTTTTATCCCAAGGTAGATGGCAACTGAGGAGAGGGGACAGCAAACATCAGAGGACAGGACAGTTTCCTCACTATGCCTTGCCCCTCCAAGTCACACCTGCAGGGGGATCCCAGGTGTGCACCACCATGTCCAATTTATGCAGTGCTGGGGATGAAACCCAAGGAGTGACAGAGGATGGCTCTCAAAGTCTAAAATATTTACAGGCTGGGTCTGCCTGTGGCCAGAGCTGCCTACATTCCTCCTGCACATGAGGGGAAGGGTGAAATGTTGAAGGAAAACTGTGCTGCAGGTGCTTTGAGGCTGAAGTCACTGATGGTCACAGATAGGTGCTGAGGGGCAGGACGTGGCAGAAATGAGAGGTCTGAGTGCAAGAGCCAGGTGCTGGCAGGTGAGGGGTTATCCTGGGGTGTTTTAGGAAGTGGGCTCCAGAACATGAGACTAGGGGCCTAGGTAAGGGTATGTAGGAGGGAGTGTGAGGACAGGTGGGGTGGGGCACCTCTCTCACCTTGTGACCTCAGGTCTCCCGATTCTCTCAGGTTCGTCTGTGACCCTGGAGGGCGGGAGGAGGGGACAGAGTGTAAAACTGGATGGAGTAAGGCTCCTCCCCTACTCCCGGCAGCCCCTGACACAGCTCAGCTCTCCTGCCCCACTGGCTGGAGCTGGGCTGGGCGGGGCTGGAGCCCACATTTGATCATTTCCATCCAGAGTGGGTGGGGTCTGCACTGAAATTGTTAGTGCAGGTTGTAGGAAAGAAACTGAAGGAATTGGAAAATGAAGAGAAAAAGGGGGATAAACACACCTCCACAGAGAAGGGGCATGCATAGACACACGAACATGCTCACACACTCAGAGATTATATGTGTTCAAATGATAGACATCTTCCTCAGTAGGTACTCACCACTGAGCCACACCCCAGCCCCTCATTGGGGGATTCTAGGCAGGTGCTCTACCACTGAGCCACACCCCAGCCCCTCACTGGGGGATTCTAGGCAGGTGCTCTACCACTGAAAGGATTCTAGGCAAGTGATTTATTGCTGAGCCAGGATCCTCCCTTCCCCAGAAGCCCTATCTGTTCTAATCTTTTACTTTATTTTGTTCTAATCTTTAAAAATTCTGAGGTCAGTTACTCAGGCTGACCTTGAACTTGGGGATCCTCCCACCTCAGCCTCCCCAGGGAAAAAACTGGGTTTTTGGTCTTTTCCTTTGAGCCCTTGTCACTAACTCAGTTTATGTGTGTCACTTCCTGTCTGGGTCCTCTATTAGACGCTGGCTCTGCCAAGGCAGGGATAGTTTATATTTTGTTCACGGTACTCCAATGCCGAGGACTGTACCAGGTATACAGTCAGTGTTCAATAAAAATCAACAGCACTGAACAACAAACAAGTGATGTTTGAATAGTACACACATATAGCAGTTTCCATGGCCATGTGCTCAGTTCCATCCATACAGCACCACATTGACTCCCCACAATCACCCTTAGAGGCGGCTTCTGTGACCACTACTGCCATCTTACATAAGAGGTGAGGACCAGAGAGGTTGAATGACTTGCAATCAGATCCCTCAGCAGGGCTGATACTGGCCTTTCCCCCCAAAGTCGGCCTCTACAGACCCCAAACCCCATTCCCACCTACACGGTCCCTCCCTATATTGCACACAGTCAGACATGCAGACAGAGAGGTAGACTGAGGGTGGAGGAGGCTGGGACTTACTGATCTTGGATCCCTGGGGCAGAGAGGCGCCCGAGACACAGCGGTTAGAGTTTTGCCGTTTAGAGGGATCGAGGGTAACCCTGCAGGGTGAGGAGGTGGTGAGGGGTTGACAGGGGTGCAGAGGAGGGAAAGATCAGGTGCAGGCAGTGAAGCAGAGAAGACAGGTTAGGCCCTGCCCCTCCTCCCTGGCCACACCCCCATCCCACCTCTAGGGCAGCTCACCTTCTGGTCAGTTTGGAGGTCAGCTTGGTGAAGAGGTTGGTGGTGGGGCGAGGTCGCCCAGAGGGCAGGGGTGTGGCCTCATGAGCCAGTGTGGGTGAGGCAGGGGGTCCATTCTGCACGCCCCCGCCACTCCCGCCTCCTGCCCTCCGGTCTCGAACCTGGCCCCCGTGGAAGGTGCTACGGATGGTGGAGCCCCGTGCCAGGCGGCTCCGCTCCCCTGATGGGGGAGCCAGGCTGTGACTGGAGGGGGAGGCGGGAGGCACCCGCGGGGTACCCGAGCTGTAGGCAGAGAGAGACAAGTCAGGGTGGGGCTGAAAGGGCCCAGCATGGAACTCAGAAATAGGACTGCCAGGCGCAGTTGTACAGGCTGTGCATGAGTACAGATGTTAGTGCTATTTTACAAGCTCTTAAACATTTATTTTTATTTTATAGGTAGGAGTGTTTTGCCTTCATGGACATGAGTGTGCCTGTGTGTGTGCAATACCCACAGAGGTCAGAAGAGGGTGCTGGATCCCCTGGAACTGGAGTTACAGATGGTTGTGAAGCCATATGGGTGCTGGGAACCAAACCCAGGTCCTCTGCAAGAGCAGCCAGTGTCTTAGCTGCTGAGCCATCTCTCCAGCTGCCCCTCTTCCCGTGGCATTATTTTATTGATTCTCCCTCCAGTTTCTCGCATCCAAATTCTAACCTGACCTAACTCTACTTAGCTTCCTAGATGAGCTTTCTGAGTAGATATATGACTATCACTGGACCTCCAACTTCTACCTTCCTGGGACCCTCAAGCCCAGTCTAGACCTCAGCTTGGAAATTCTGAATCAGAGTTCACTACCCTAACCCGAATACCTAGAATCTATCCCCCTTGTCTTTTGGTATCCAAGCTCAGAGACTACACATCCCAGCATTCCTTGCTGCAAGAAGCAGCCATGTGATTGGCCATCAGCCTGTAGGCTAAAAGCAGTTGTCTTTTGTACCATTTCTGGGCCATGCCTTTAAGAAGAGTTCTGGGGAAACAGTGGCAATTGGCACAGAGACCCAGAGTTGGGGTGTCCCATGGATCAGGAGAATTGGTGTTGGATGGTTCTGCTCCTGAAGTCTGAACATTGTATTGACGCCACATGACCTTCACTGCAGCTCAGGCTGTGATCTAATGGAGCCACTTGACCGAGCAGAACTCCAAAGTGGAATTTTACAGTGCTTACACACACAGACTCTGGAATTCTTGCTCCCTGCTTTGCCAACTGTCCGGCTCTGGGCAAGTTCCTTAACCTCTCTGGGCCTCATTTTTCTCAGCCAAAAGTAGAGATGCTAGGATCCACACACAACGCAGTTGGAAGCAATCAACCAGGTGCTGGACAGAGCTCGACATCTGGCTGATGTTCAATGAACCCTTGTCATTGTTTTTTTTTTAATATTTTATTATTTTTATATTTTTCGTGTATGAGTGTATTGCCTGCATGTATGTGAGTGCACCGGTGTCTTGCTGTGCCTTGGAGGTCAGAAGAGGGCTTTGGATTCCCCTGGAACTGGAGTTAAGGACGGTTTGTAGCCGCCATGTGAGTGCTGGGAATCAAACCCAGGTCTCTGCAAGAGCAGTCAGTGCTCTTAACCGCTGAGCCATCTCTCCAGCCCCAACGGGTGTTTTTTTTAAATTTAGTAACTATCAATCTCTCCATCATTCAATGTCATAGGGGACCCGTGTCAGATAAAGGATCATGGGACACAGGGGAAGTTAAAATTAGCCCCATTAAAAAAAAAACAACACACTGTTGTTTGGTTTTTTTTTTTGTTTTTTTTTTTTTTTTGGTCTTTTTGAGACAGAGTCTCTCTGTAGCTCCAGCTGGCCTGGATTTGATATGGAGACCAGGCTGGACTCAACTCACAGAGATCCACCTGCCTCTGCTTCCTGAGTGCTGGGATTAAAGGTGTGCTTTTTTTTTTTTTTAATTTTACTTATTTATTTTTTATTTTATGTGTATGTGTATATTGCCTGCATGTAGGTAAGTGCATCCGTGTCGTGCAATGCCCTTGGTGTACAGAAGAGACTGTCAGATCCCCTGGGACTGGAGTTACGGACAGTTGTTTGCTGCCATGTGGGTGCTGGGATTCAAACCCAGATCTTCTGCAAGAACAACCAGTGTTCTTAACCTCTGAGCCATCTCTCCCACCCCAAAAGGTGTGATTTTTTTAGTTGGTTTATTTTTATTTTATGTGTATGAGTGTATTGCTTGAACATATGTAAGTGCACCACGCATGTGCAATGCCTGTGGAAGCCAGAAAAGGGGCATCAGAACCCCTGGAACTGGAGTTATATATGGCTGTTAGCCACCATGTGGGTGCTGGGAATTGAACCCAGGCCCTCTGCAAGAGCAGCCAGTGCTCTTAACTGCTAATCCATGTCTCCAGCCAACCACATCAGCCTCATTTTACAGAAGAGAAACTGAGGCTGGGAGATTCACCCATTGTCACCGACCAAATCATATCATTGGCAATTTCATTAGCTATACCCCAGAGTGTCCCTAATTTATACAGTACTAGGAATAAAATCCAAGGCTTTGTGCATGCTAGGCAAGTAGTCTAGCCCTTCCCTACATGGCTTCATGCGCCCAAGGTTGACCCTGAACTCCTGATCCTCTAGACCCAGTCTCTCAGATGTTGGGCACCATGCCAGGGACTTTACTCACTTACGAGGCATTGGTCATCTGATTTGACCCTCATTTCCCAGCTGAGAGACACTTCCCACTCAGGCCCCCAGGCAACCTAGATGATGCAAGAATTGGTGACAAATCTTGGGCTTCTTTCTAGTTCTAAATATGGATCATTCAAGAACTCCACTTCGGTTCCCAGGCTCGTGGGTGGAGGACAGGCAGCCTGCCTTCCTGGCACTGTTGACTAGCTCATGGAGTGGGAGCATGTTGAGGGGGAAAGATCTGCCCAGGACCGGGAGGAGCTGGTGATGTGTGGCATCTACCCTGCCATCCGTCCATTTTGATCTGATTGTGTGTGTGTGTGTGTGTGTGTGTGTGTCTGTCTGTCTGTCTGTCCATCTGTGCACACTCGTGCTCACCCACTCCCCATGTTTCCCTTCCTCCCAGCCACTGTCCAAATACCTGTTTTCTTTGCCATTTGGCAACAAGGATGGGCGCTCAGCCCCTGGGCGCTCTGTGCAAACATAGGTATTCCTGCGGGTCATCATGCTGGGGGGCAGGTTGTTCTGTGGGGGACACAGCAGAGGAGAAGACATGAGAAGACGCCCTCCAGCCTCCCTCCATACTGCCCCATTCAGCACACCAAACTTCTTCACTTTTTTTTAATTTGGTCTTTTGAGGTAGGGTCTCCCTGTAGCCACAGCTGGCCTGGAACTGACTATGTAGACCAGGCTGGCCCTCCTGGCCTTGAACTCACAGAGATCCACTTACCTCTGCCTCCCCAGTGCTAGAACTAAAGGCATGTGCCACCACAACTGGCCAACGTCTTCACTTTTTTTAAAAAAAAAAAGATTTGGGGCTGGAGAGATGGCTCAACAGTTAAAAGCACTGACTGCTCTTGCAGAGGACCAGAGTTCAATTCCTAGCACCCACATGGTAGCTATGAATCGTCCTTAACTCCAGTTCAAAGGGAATGTGATGCCCTCTTCTGACTTCCGTGGCATTAAAAAAAA